AACATCAGTTAATCAAATAAATAAATGGACCAAAACATGGCGTATTAAACTAAACGAAACCAAATCTGTTAATATTAATTTTACTAACAAAAATGGTCAAAGAATACCAATTAATATAAATAATGCTCAGGTCCCTTATGCTAACTCGGCAAAATATCTAGGTATTACATTAGATGCAAGACTTCGCTGGAAGGTCCATGTTAAAAAGGAAAGACAAGAGTTAGAAATAAAATTCAAGAAAATGTACTGGTTCTAGCTTATCTACACATAACAAAATTCTATTATATAAACAAGTTCTCAAACCAATTTGGACCTATGGTATTCAGCTCTGGGGTTGTGCCAGCTACAGTAATATTCTAATAATCCAGAGATTCCAGAACAAAGTATTGAGGAACATTGTCGATGATCCTTGGTACATTAGAAACAGCGACCTTTATCGAGACCTTCAGATGGACACTGTTGACCAGACTATCAGCAGATTCGCTAGGAGTCACGAACAACGGCTCCACCAACATGTGAACGTTGAGGCGATCCAGCTTCTTGACAACACGAACCTGACAAGAAGACTCAAAAGCGTGAAACCTTTTGAGTTAGCCAAGTGATTGTGTTAATAACAAAGCAAAGCATTGTGCGGTTTAGTGTTACACGTTAGTGTAATTAAGTTATCAGACCCTAAGGTATACTAGCGAGTAGAACTTTAGTTTTTAAGATTGCAACCCTAGTTAAGTTAGGTTATAACAAAATTACTCATTGATCAACTTGATCAGATTGTAATATCAATAAACGCCCCTTTTGGAGTGTTTTTTCACAAAAAAAAAGTTATAAGCAAATAGGATTAGATTTAGCCTATAACACTATGGCCTCTTGGGTCTATTGTATTCCCTTGCTTTTCCCGTATTCAGGTGCACTATCTCTTGTGTTCTGTGCGGCGGGCGAATAGAACGTCTTCACCATCAGGGTAGTAGAAGTCCATTAAATGACCAATTCCCAACTTGGCGACGTTATTAACCTGCAGGACTTTGACCTGAGAGGCTAGCTATCCCTATACACCCCCTAGCGACAACCAGCAGGTTTTTGATGAGTTTATAACCTGCAGGACTTTGAAGAGCTGAGAAGATGGATGTCTGTAGAAACCCCTTAATGTCAACCAGCAAGTTTTTTTGACGAGTTGATAACCTGCAGGACTTTGATTGGGTTGAGAAGATGGCTGTCTCTAGACATCTCTCAATGACAACCAGCAGGTTTCGACAAGCTGGGAGGCAGGTTCTATATGCCCCTGGAGGATGCACAATGGACCTTATGAGGCTTAAGTGTACTGTGGAGCAACCCACCCTCTCCACTTTACAGATACAGTTCTGTGTGGTTAGTTTTACTACAACGTGTTCCGTTCCTGGAGCGCTCTTTCCGGTTCTAGGCCGAAAAGGATGTGTTGCTGCCTAGCTAGAGCTTCGCATTCGATAATAACATGGTATAAGGTTTCTTCCTCTTCGATGAAGAGTCTATTCGTGGTGGGATCATTCTGTAGTCTCATTAGGTGAAAGTGTTTTAGCAAGCAATGTCCCATTAGTAATCCCACAATGATGGATGTCTGAGGACTTGCGAGCTGTAATACCTCAACAGCCATGCGTGAGCTTACTGATTCTGTGTTGTCGTTGTCAGTATATTTGGAGTTTAGAGTGGTTATTCACCTGTTCTTTGCTTGTAGAGCAGATGTTTTGCTTATGTCAAATACAGGGTCGGGTCCTATGAATGGTAGTTCTGGTCCCTCTTTGGCGAGCTCATCGCCCTTTTCATTTCCTTGGATATCTTTATGTCCTAGTTCCCATGTCTAGTTTTAACTTATTGTAGGTTGCCAGATCATTGAGTATTGCAAGGCAGTTCCAAACCAGAGAATTAGACGGTTTATTTTTTGAACTTCCTTCTTAGGTTCTTTCTTATATATAATTTCAATTACATGTATTTTACCCTGAAATAAAGTGGTCATGTTTTTCCAATGAGACGGTATTTGGGTTGTATGCCCGAACCATGTTCCTTTGCTAGATACCTTCACAGTAGGTAAACACACTTTTTACACAGGATTTGACAGTTCTGCCTTGGCTCAAAGCGAAATGAACCCTAGTCGGTCCAACCAATATATTTTATTAAAACTAAATACTATTTTCTCATATTCATTAAAATAGTTTGAAAACAGCGTTTCTTTTTCATAAAATATGACTCCTTTTTGTCTACATGTGGAGATTCATCATCATCCCATAAGTTTGGACTAAACGAGGGACTAAATGAATAATTGTTATTTAAAAAATTGTCTTTGATTATGTTTATAAAATCTATTATAAAGTCTATTTTTTTGTATCGTGCTGTTATGAACAATTTTTATCTTTGTAACGGTGTATATGAGTTGGGTTTCTAGTTCAACAAGAATTACTATGGGTGCGTACGTGGCAAAGATGCTTTGATGAGCCATGTTCGATGACTGATAGTTAAGCGGATGTTAATCGATATAACACAAATGTACTGATTCAAATGAGAGTATACATACCAAAGATTAACACTTCTTTGTACCGTTGATGCTTACAGCGATATCTTTGGTATGTATACTTCCATTTAAATTAGTTTATTTGTGTTACATGGATTGACATCCACTTAACTATCGCCTTTTGGTCATCGTTCATTGTGGCACCTAACCGTAGCAAATTGCTCAGTGGTTTTATCCTTTATGTGGACTTTCTGGTCTTTTTGTTTGCTGAAAACTCTTCAGGATTTAATTCTAACTTATGAGTTAACCTATTCCTTGATAGTGTATACATATTTTTCTCCCGCGATCTTCTCTGTCATCCGTTTTACAGATTACATTTGTAAACAGAGTTATATAATGTTTGTTGACCAAATAACCTTAAGTACTGATAAATTTTCATAAACATTTCAAAACCGGTGAATCTGATAAAGTTAGTAAAGTAAACATTCCGTAGTACTTTTAAAAAGCGATAAATATGATGCAACCAGTCGATTCATTGTAAAATTTTACATACATAAAATATTTGGACAGTAAAAGGGAATCCCCGAATCCAGTATATCCAGTTGGGAAATCCGTTGATAATTGAGTATTCGAAATGGAAATTCTCAAAAATATTTTTTTATCACGTAATTTCGTCGTATCTTATCAGGTTGTTTATTCCGTTTCTTATCAGTAAATTATTCCATTCCTGTAATTACCCCCTCTATTGTATATATTTTTTTAATTGACAGCTTTTAAAAATATTTTCAACTATCGACTTTAATATGAAAATTATTTGAGTATACTACAAGGCTTATAAACGATAATGCATTTAAATATGTATAATAAAACCTCAAAATCCAAGTTACAAATATTTATTGAATTAAAAAAAATGTTAACTGTAGCTAGTTTCGGCCAACTTGAACCATCATCAGGAATGAAAGAAAAAAAGACTCTAAAAACAAATTGTAAAATAAAGGGGAATACTCTACTGTGATGTAAATATAACTGAGCTGGGGGATTAAAATTAAATTAAACTTTATAATAAATACATCAATTAATAAGAATCCTCTTTTATTTTTAACCGACTTCAAAAAAGGAGGAGGTTATCAATTCGTCGCGATATTTTTTTAACATATCCCAATCAAAACAAATTGTATCTGAAAACACTGAATGGTGCAGCGTTTTCACTCAATCCCGCGAAACGTCAATGTGAAGTTTGTCAAAAAGGTTATGAAGAATGGACAAACATTATTTTGGTTGTTCGAATATACATTGTAAATAGATAATCAACATCACTTTTGACTTCATCTTACGGAAACAAAGAATATGTTCAGAAAAGTTTTGTTTATTTTGTTAAATAATTTTTCCATTTTTTTTAAGAACATTTTCCTTATAAATTTGCATAATCCTCCTGCAATACCACATCTCCTTTTAAGGAGAATTTTGTTTCGTGAATTAAGAAGCATAATTTCCAAAGAAACAACAAAATGTTCTCAAAAAAATGATCACCTCTTGTAGTATTATCCTTGAGAAGTTGTCACATACACAAAATATAAATATCTGAGTAATAAAAAACAACATTGTCTTAACGTTTTGCCAACAATAAAAAAAATCTGAAAAATAGAGAACATGGTTAGAATATCACAAAAATGGTCTTTTTGCAATTTTTGGTTAGAATGTCAGTAAACGCTGCTTCCGATTTTACATCTATCAATTTCTTCATTAATGAATTCATGAAGAAATTGACAAATAATATGGTGATAAAAATGATTTTAAATTTGTCAATAAATTCTTGAATGTTTGTGTTATGTCAGTTTAAACAAGTGTACCAACAGCAACAAAAAAATATAAATAAGTGAGGTTAAATGTTAAAAGTAATATGACCGGGATCGAACGCTTATTGATCCTATTGCCTGTAAGAACAAACCTAATAAAAACAAAACAAAATTATTAAACATACATGACATCTCTATTTAGTATTTAGGTTGGTTGTTTGATAGGTTTGTATTTCTGATCTTCAGATTAAATTTGATGAATTTATTGTTCAGAAATTTTGGAATTTAATGGATATCAAAGTTTCGTATAACACTATCCAATTTATTCATGAATTAACTTCATGAAGAAATTGTTAGATACAAAGGGTGCATGGTATGATAAGCATTCGTGCAATCATATTCAATCAGCATAAAAAATCTACCAGGCAGGTCAATTTCTCTATTTGTGTCTATCAAACTATTTTTTTGTATCACTTTTGTGCTATTGTTTTCATTTAAAAATCCTTTTGCTTACGCAATTTCTAGATATATTATAATTTAAGTAATCCACAGGCGATTTAAATTAAATGGAGCATTGTCTTTTAGTGATAAAGATAATAATTCTAAGTGTTTTGAATTTGTATGTTTTAAGTTTAATGCAAAAAAATTAATTATGGAATGGAAATTTTATTCTTCTGAAGCAGAAACCAATAGATTTTAGATACACCTACGATTTTTTAATGTTACAGGACTCACGCCGTTAATGATATCTTGCCTAAATAGAGATTATGATTCCGTAGAACTGTTGCTAGACTCTGATGCTGATCCAAATGTTAAAGATCAAATTTCTGGCCGGACGGCCCTGTTTCACGCAGCTGAATTATATGACGGTAAGTTGACAACACGCAAAGCGGCTGTCATAGTTGCGATATATTTCAATATTTTTATTAATAGCCTTTTCGACTAGTGAAACTAGTGCACACTTTTTGACACTCTGTGCAAACTTATGTTTTCGACTCGCAAGAGCAGTGCGAAAAGGGTACATTTTTGAATTTTCAGTTGGAATCAGTTGAACTCAAAAAAATAAACCGGTGCGCACTTTTGCGAACCGAGTCTACAGTCTACAGACAGGTTTTCAGTTTCAGTTCAGTTGTAACAAATATGGCGAATGCAATTAAAAAGTTGTTTCTAATGTATGTAAATTTTGTAGTAGAAATATTGGAAACTTCTTCGTCAGATTCAACATTCAACATTTAATTAAGGCCAGGAGTAATAAAACTAAACTGCCAAAAATAATAGATTACATTAAATCGGTGTCGCACCTGGATGACTCCCAGGTGTAAGTCCTTTATATGCATCGTACCTGTACGTGGACATCTTAACTTAAACATAGGTAAGTTTATGTTAACATGTTGAAAAAATATTCTATATCAATATTAAATAAATGGGTGAAATTAAAGCTTGGCTTGGATCTTGTTTGGAATTCGGAAGGTACTTCTAATTATCACTCAGATGACAGCTATCAAATACAATACAATGCGCTGGTGGTTAACTGCATGTTCTGTTGAAATCAGTTTGTATGACGTCACTAAATTGAACCAGTGCTGAGCAATGAAAACTCGCACTTCACTAGTGTGAACTAAGTGTAACCAGTCGAAAACGTTATTAGTTTTAGTTCATCACACGGTAAGATATGGCTAAAATTGATAAACGTTAGTTTGTTAGTATATTTAGGGCAAAAAATGGCGGTTCATTTTTAACCTTTCAAAAGTGCAGTCGTTCAAATTAGTTTATTTGATCTTTTATCAAGTGAAGAAATCAAACTGAATCGCTTATTTGAGTCACTTTTTGAGAGTTTTCAGGAAATGAGAAAAATATTTTGAGTAATTCTGTGATTTGAAGTCGTTAGTTTATCACTAAAGTATTTGTAATAAACAAAAGCGTTATAAATGTTTACAAAATAAAATTTTATTTAAAAAAAAACTGGACTTAGGTTGTTTTTGAAATGAATTTTTTTATTATTATTATTCTTATTATCATCGAGCTATTTTAAGATAATATTAAAATGTAGCGTGACTTTTTTCTATTTTGTTTTGGTTTGTGATGTTTCAATGCTCTCATAAAATGGTTTGAATGGTTCTTCTTTCTATATAAGCAGATTTAAAATTTTCTTTTTTGGTCTCTAGTATTGGCTTTGGGCCTTTATATGCCAGTTCAGTTCAGTTTCAAAGTCATTTATTTACATTTTAAAATTTATCTACATGTCAAAAATCTATATATCACATTTCTTCTAAGGATTTCTTCCACTCTGCTGCTGGAAGTATTCCTGTATGGCTCCCAGGGGAGCCAGGACCGATGTCATGGCCTAATGCGAGTATAAAATTTCGTTTATCTTTGAATTTGTTGCCTTCTCCTTGCTGAGAGCAGCATTATAAGCCAATTTAGAGGGGCTAACTGGACAATAATTGATTAAGTGTTGGAGTTTTTGTCTGATTTTAATTTAGTGTGCGTTCCCTGAAAAACTAATCCGAAAAAACAGGGTTGTCCTTGTCTGTGTGTACGTAGGGTGGTAGTTTACGTGCATGTTTAATTAAATCACAGGACTACACGGTGAATTCAACACCCAGAACCGGGACCAAGGCAAGCCTAGATTCCTGCAACTGAGCAGTGACGTCACCGTGCAGTCGTCCGTCCGACTGCTTTTGTCAAGAAGTCGACTTTGTGATTTAATTATTCAGTGTTGTCTTGTTGTTAAGGAGGGGTGTACGTTGATTTCCCGTCTATCTGTCACGTGTGTATATTGTGAGTGCACTATGCAGACATCCATGTCTCCTATCTGCACCATCCCCATCGAATATGTTTATTATGTCTTCTAGAACATTATTAGGAATGCATTTACTATAAAAGTTGTTCGATAATTTTAGAATATGTGCTTTAATAGGATCAATGGATGTCTCCACGTGCATGTCATTGATTCTGGCATAACGGTTGTAACCCAATGCCAGCCTCAGACACTTGTTTTGCATTCTCTGGAGTTTTTGGAAATGCGTGTCAGCCATGGAACAGTAGACTGGACATCCATATGTTAATATAGGACGGAGGACTTGTTTATATAATAAAAGCTTGTTTGTTGATGTAACCCCACTTCTTCTGTGTAACATGGGATATAATGTTTTAAAAGCTCCCATGGTTTTCCCATACCTGTCAGCTATATGGTCCTTGAACGTTAGCCTCCTATCCAAGATAAAACCCAAGTATTTCATTTTGCTTTTAGTTGTAATTTTCTGGTCCTGTACTTTCAGGCCAGTTATGATGGGGTCTTTAAATTTCCGGGTTAATAGGAGGCTTTCTGTTTTTGCGGCGTTTATTTGAATTTTGTTATGTTCAAGGTAGGGGACTAACGTTCGATTAATATGAATGTCCAGTCTCCTAGTGGCAATTTCCGCAGAATCCGAAGATTTGTAAACGCAAGTGTCGTCAGCGTACAGGGCCGTCTGTATACCATTTTGTCCCATGGGAAAATCATGAGTCATGATGGTATACAGGTGGGGCGCAAGTACTGATCCTTGGGGCACTCCCGCTCGCGCAGTGTATGGTCCACTTTTAGTATTGTTTAATTTAATGTAGAATTTACGGTCTTTTAAGTAAGATTGGATTGTTTTCACAATGGAAACAGGGTAGTCATTCATAAACATCTTGTATATTAATCCGTCAGTCCAGACGGTATCAAAGGCCTTCGCAGCATCGAGAGCGACTAGCACAGTTTGTTGGTTTTTATTATACGCTTTTTTCGCATGATGAGCTATTCGAATGATTTGAGCAATCGTGCTGTGTCCGGCCTTGAAACCGTACTGTTCCGACGGAATAATAGGGTTGTCAAGTTCGTACGTGTGTAGTCTAGTTAATAAGACACGATCGGCTATTTTGGCTAAGCCATTTAATAGCGAAATAGGGCGGTAACTCTCAATTTCGGCTTTGTTTTTACCAGCTTTGAGTATCGGTACGATATTCGCAATTTTTAGAATTTTAGGATAGTTTTGTATTTTAATAATGGCATTAATTAAATAATGTAATTGTACTACTGCCTTTTTTGACAGGTTTTTTAGCAGTTTATTATGTATACCGTCGATCCATGGAGCAGTTTTGCTTCTAGTGCGCTTTATAATGTCATAGATTTCTTTAGGTGAGGTTAGGATATTGCTATGAACTTCTTGAATGTTCATGTTTTTGATGTCCGTTACTACGTTCTCTATATTTTGTTGAGCTTCATTATTTATTTGGCGATTTACGAAGTTTGACTGAAAGAATTCGCCGAAGGCTGACCATTTTTCGTCGTCTGTCGAGTATATGTCATTGTTGTGTCTCAATGTGGGAAGCTGCGAAAAAGGTTTTCGGAATTTTCTCACAAATTTCCACACCGAGTTGTCACGTACGTTAACCGCTTCCAGGGTTTTACGCCATTCGAGGTTTCTGTGTTCCGTTATGAGTTTTTGTATGGTTTTTCCTATATCATGTAATCTTACCCTGTCAGCGGCTGTCCTGTCTGTCTGCCAACGTCTGCGTAAGTAATTTTTGTTTTGTATTAGGTCTAAAATCTCTTGAGGAAGATTATTTTTAGTAGATTTTTCTCTTGCTAATATTATAGTATTTGTGAGTTTTCTGAATTCTTCCTCAAGAGAGTTTTCGTCTGTAATGTTGTTTGTAATTGTTATGTTGTCATCTAGAGTCTTTCTGTATGTCTGCCAGTTTGTAGTTTTGTAGTCGTAGTAATGTCCCTGTATTCTTGGGATTATGCGTGTAGTTCTAATCTCCAAGTATACAGGGTCATGGTCCGATGTAAGTGTCTTAATAGTCATAGTGTTGTCTATGTTGGGAATGTTTTTCGCTACCGCTATGTCTAGCGTACTGGGAGTGTTTCCGGAATAGGGGAAAGTGGGTGGGGTCTTCAGGGTAATGTATTATTAGGTCATTATCTTCGGCGAATTCGTTCAGGTTTTTTCCACTGTTGTTTTGAAACCTGGCAATTTGAATCCCATGAGTGATGCTTACAATTTAAGTCCCCAAATAAAAGTACCCTGGGGCCCGCCGACATTATAATATTTAGTTTAGTTTTTAGGATTTAATTAGTTGGTGAATTATATGCTCCTACTAATATCATGTTGTTTATTTGAATTATTAAATGTTCCTGAGATATATCAAGCTGATGCAATAATTTGTAGGTAATTTGGTTACTGATTATGAGAGCTACCCCACCACCGTTTTGATCAGGCCGATCTTGCCTTATTACTTCATAGTCTTGTATTTTAAATGTAAAGTTAGGTTTGAAGTAAGTTTCTGTAATGAGTATTATGTCGAATTTATGTTTATGAATGAAACTGCGAACAATAGCTGATTTGTTGCGCATCCCATTTGCATTGTAAAAACAAACTTTGAGTTTTTGATTGTTACGTTCCAAGAGTTCAGTTCCTAAGTTTGAAATTTACGTCTATATTAGTCATGAATAGGTTGTAGGTCTCAAATATTTCTTGCCCATTATGGCATTCTAAAAGTTTAGCGTTAAGCGCTCTAACTGCCCTGGTTAGCTCCCCTATATTGACTAACCTGTTAAGAGTGGATAACTCTGCATTTAGGGCCGTGATATCACTCATGGCTCCGTAATGTTAGGACAGGAGACTATCTTCTATTTATTTAATGAAACCAAAGTCGAATCGAATATATATATCATCATTTATTTTTAACTTGAATATGGGTTACATTTCAAAGAATTACTGCATTCGTTCTTTCATTGAACCTTGCAGTCTATATTGGAAAAAACTATCTAATTAAACAAATTACCTCATATTGCTTAGGTGTCAATACAGGTAACCTACTTAATTGCATAGTTCTTCGT